AAGCAATTTTTTTGTGTGATTTGAATTACAAATTACACAAAAGCTGAACTAGGTGAACTGATGCTCCTCAGTTGTTTTCACTTCAGAGCGAAGGTTGGGGTGCTGCATAATTATTATGCCTTATACGCGATGGATGTCTTCAAGACAGTGCGCAAGAGAATTACAGGATGTTTGCAGAATTTACAGCTTGCCATAACATAAACTTTCGCGTAATGTAATGCAACTTTGTTTGCGAAGATGTAATGAATACTGCTTATACCTCTTTTAGCTCCTTCTCGATCTGCACCGCACGCTGAACGATTGGACCGCGGACCGCGTAATCAACCTTCTTCACGTTGGCGTTCATGGTGTCAACGGTAAGCACTTTCCCCCGAGGGGGTAACGCTCCGTTTTCGGACATCTTCTGGTGTAGATGTTCTCGCTGGGCCGCCGGGAATGCAGAAAGATTCCTATGGGGAGAAGAAAAGGAAGGCAGCGGAGAAAAGTTCAGGACCCTGTCTGGAACCTTGGGGTACACCGCCGTGTAAGCCTCACATCTTCCCCATTTCAAAACGCTCACGGTTCTATTAGATAACATTTTTATAAACAGTTAAAAGCGCAGCACGTTTACTTAACGGTATAAAACGTAGAGCTTAAATTTGGGTTCTTAAACTTTGGTTATCAGCGCATGTTTGCCGTTACGCGCGTAACAAACCCTACAAAGATCTACTCGAGAAGACCTTTGGACTGTGCATCAGATAGCCTAGTTCAAGATTTCATAAGAAGCACAAGCAGCTGCTGACCCCCACTAAATCCCCACGCCTCTTTTTATCTACTGGGCACACAAACAGTACATTCAGTGTTTCTCTAGTTACTTTTCCATGACTGCCACCCCCTTTTTAAATGTGGAGTTTTATAGCCCGTACCTCCTCCCGACAGTAGGCTATTACGCACCAGAAGTGTAGAAAGGGAAGACTCCTCGGTTACCGAGACTACAGACAGCAACGATCGACCCGTGTCAAGCGTGTGAAGCGTCTAAAGCGGATCCAAACTTTTACCGGTGTAAAACTACCCTTCACAGTGAACCTCCTCCCATTGATTCAATAACTGAGAATAAAGCGCCAGCTCCTCCCATGTTGACTAAGTCGCTGTGTGTCTTGCAGAAGAGATTAACAAACAGTGTGATCAAATTACAGGGTTATGTGTTCTTTGAAAGAACTTTTCCACATAGGCCTACTGGCATACTTCAGGAAATATAGACCAATTGGAGAAAATGGCAGACTTGACAAGAACTTATGCTAAATATAATTAGTTGTTATCAGAGACCATGATGTAGACAGCATGCTCTTCATTATTCAACCACTTTGGTCTGATTGGAACATGTGAGGAGGCTGGTTGGTTGTTAAAGAGGAGATATTATGGGATATATTATTAAAATGTTCTTCACACTGAGGAAAATAAAAATAAAAACATAGTTATTTTTAGAACTGTTCACAGAAAGTGTCTTTAGGGAGCCCAGAATGGTTCTTTTATGCCACTGCAGTGAAAACCCACATTTGGAACTTTTATTTTTAAAAGTAGGCTAAACAATGGAATCCATCTGGGATATATTCAGGCAAAACTTTTAAACAAGAAGTTGAACTGTGGGATAAGTATTTTGTATTATTATTAATGTCATCTAAGGCCATGCTTATATCACTTACATCAGTTGTCATATGTTTGTTGTTGTTTAGTTTATTTTACAACTTAACTATATATATAAATATATATTTGGGGAAGCTGTTTTATTTTTCATATAAGTCTAAATGTAGTAAGTCTATATCTATATTTACTGGAATAAAAACTGTAACAACTATCATCCATAATTTGTACTAACATTAAGATTCAAGTTTGTACATTGTCTTGTATGCTGAATCATTGCTGACTGAATAACATGCAAACGTTTTTCTGGAGAGGTTCCCCAGGGTTCAATGATTAGTCAAAAGAATTTTATAGTGACACATTTAATTGCACATAGCTCAAGCATAAACTATTGCAGCCATAAAAGCTTGATGGTGACAAGCAAATCATGTCATTACGTTGTACCTCAAGCTTAAGGGCAAAAACATGTGACTATCCATATTCAACATAAAGCAGAGACGAATAAACCAGTCCTGATGTCTGTCATTTCCTAATCACTCCACTCACCAACAGCCTGAGGTCATCTATAGAAATTGTGCATATAGGGACATACTTTATAATTCAGTGATGGAATATAGCCCCACAATCAGTACTTTTCACATCAGTTATTTTTTTCCCACTAATTCCACTATGCATTCTGCTTAAAGTCAAAGGAAAACATAAAAGACGTTCTTTAGCAAATAAATGTGTTGTAATAGTATTAATCAAGGTGGCTTTATACAGCTTATTAACTGTACTCCAACAATATTTCAGCCTCGAGACGATCAGACTGTTGACCTTTGACTGAGGGAGTGACTCTTGAATTGAAGACATTATAAGTTTAATTTGTTGATGGATAATTACATATGAACAAAACAACAAGGACTATAGCACTATAGTTGCCTGCATAATTTCATATCCTGTGAGAACAAAACACACATTCACACATTTATCTACTGATGAGTAATTTGAATGAAAACAGATTGTTTTACAAAAACCCAAGACTGGATTTCTAGTACGTCCAATGAAAACAGCCCATGTTTTCTTTTGCACGTCACACGCATTCAGTTTATCTTTTTTTTTTAGTTTCTCAATTGTTGCGTGCAATATCAGGTTAACTGTTGTGCAGGCTGTACAATGCTATTTATATTTAAAATGAAATATAAACATGCTATTACAATGTTCAGTGCAGCCATACTCACACCCAAAATCCTGTCTTTATTTTAACCTGCAAGTGTTTAGGTACTTCTTTTACATCACCCACTGTTGTTACAAAAATACACACAAGCCTATGCTGTAGGCAGGACTGTGTTCTTGGAACATAATATGATTGGGCCGCAGGGGGTGTGGTTACACAGATTTCTGCTGATTTTTACAAATAAAATATCAAAAAAGAAGAAGGAAAAAGAAAATCACACTGTGAAAACATGAATGTGGTTCAGAAATAATAACAGCAGGTTTATTGCTAGAATGCAGAATGATTCTATTTTTCTTGGTGCCTATAACATGAAAATATAACAGAAACGTATAGGAAACATAAAAATCTAAAGAGGTATAAGAATTTATTCACACCACAAATTCAAGCATTATTAAACAAATTTGTTCACCAGTGTCATTAAGCAAATATTAACATACACAGCTTTCAAAAATATTATGTTGGTCCTCAATGCCAATTTTTACATTCATGTTCAGTAACAACAACACACCAAAAGGTAGCATGTGGTATCACAGTGTGAATGCTACACATATACAGTCATACAGTAGTCATTAAGTGCTTTTGAGTCTATATTTTGATTCACTTTTTAGAATCACATTTGTTTATATCCTGTATTTTTTATATCCAGCTCCTAAAAAAGTACTTAAGCAGTGACAGAGAAGTATTAGTAACACTTTACAATAAGGTTAAATTTGTTAACATAGTTAAAGCATTAGGTATCACAAACTAACAATGAATAATACTTTTACAGCATGTGTTATTCTAGGTTTATGTGAATTTATAAATCTGCAATTGTTCAATTTATACTTTAAACTTCTTTAAAAACAAAACTAATAGTAGATGCAGAAAATATTAGAGTAACTGATATGAATAAATGGTGTACATAGTTCGTTAGTTCAAACTGAACCTTATAGTAAAGTGTTACCAAAAATCTTCTTCTGATTAAAATACAACAAGCTAGGAGCCTTAACCTTGATGATCACAGACATAAATCGTCAGTGACCAGTTAAAGGGATAGTTCACCCGAAACAAAAGTTCTGTCATCACTCACCCTCATGTTGTTCCAAACCTGCATGCATTTCTTTATTCTATGGAACACAAAATAAGATATTTGGCAAAATGTCTTGGCATTTTTTTCTCAATGGAATTCAATGTTGTTTCGAACAATAACTGTCATTGTATGGACATTTTTTAGAAATTTGTTTTTCACAGAAAACACAAACTCAAACAGGTCATACTAGGACATGAGGGTAAGAAAATTATGACAGAGTTTGAATTTTTTGTGAACTATCCTCTACTATTAATGCTTGAGCTGTTCATTTTTACAAATCCAGTAACCTGGTTAAAGGGATATTCACCCAAAAATGAAAATTCTGTCATTAATTACTCACCCTCATGTCGTTTCAAACCCGTGAGACCTTCGTTCATCTTCGGAACACAAATTAAGATGTTTTTGATGGAATCTGAGAGCTGTCTGACCCTGCATAGATAGCAACGCAACTGAAATGTTCCCAAGTCCAGAAACGTAGCAAGGAGATCTGTAAAATAATCCATGTGAGATCAGTGGTTCATCCGCAATTATACGAAGCTACGAGAATACTTTTTGTGCGCAAAAGAAAAAAAAAAACGACTTTATTAACATTTAAAAATAATAATTTGTCTCCTCCGCATCACCCTGGTGCCATTTTGGAGAATATCCGCTGGACGTAAACAGCGTATGCTGTTCTGTGTCAGCTGCGTCACGCCGGATCTGTTTCCTACGTTGTTGTGATTTGATCTGAACGGAAACAGCGTATCCGTATGACGCAGCTGACACAGAACAGCATACGTTGTTTACATCCAGCGGATATTCTCCAACATGGCACCAGGGTGATGCGGAAGAGACGAATAGTTGAATAAAGTCGTTTTTTCTTTTTCTTTTGCACACAAAAAGTATTCTCGTAGCTTCGTATAATTGCGGATGAACCACTGATGTCACATGGATTGTTTTACAGATCTCCTTGCTACGTTTCTGGACTTGGGAACATTTCAGTTGCGTTGCTATCTATGCAGGGTCAGACAGCTCTCAGATTCCATCAAAAATATCTTAATTTGTGTTCCGAAGATGAACGAAGGTCTCACGGGTTTGAAACGACATGAGGGTGAGTAATTAATGACAGAATTTCCATTTTTGGGTGAACTAACCCTTTAAGTAACCCATACATGTCCAAACAAATGCCCTAAAAACCAGTTGCAGCAGTAATCGCTGAGAGAGTCTGTGTAGCCACAGAACGCAAGGCAAACGTGGGCACAGAGAGATCCATGAGGACGAAGAGCTGGTGTTGGGAACTCTGCAGGCCATAACACTTACACTCATCAGTGACAAGGTAACACTGCACAGGGACGTGGGTAAAGCCCTGAGAGAAATCCTCCGAGGCTGACGAAACTGATGTCTCCTGAGAGGTAAAATATCGAGTCACAGCAAATGTATAAAAGAGGCGGAGGAGCTCCAAACGCCTGCCTGACGAGAGGAGAGGCATAGCTTCTGAGGGTGCGCCACTGCGAACACGAGGGCAGACGGTGACGGCACGTCGAGATTCACGGTTGATGAGCAGAAGAGCCTGGACGTCCCAGCGAAGGCTAACAGATGAGGGAAGACTGGAACGTTCAGCATGCTCCAAACAGCTACGCAGGTTCTCCACAAAAGTAGACCAAAAACGACCAATGAGCTCATTCTCTGCCTTGTGCAAAGAAGGTTTGGGGCCACAGAGGACGCACAAGTGAGCCCCAGGAAGTAGTTGGAAACTGAGCAAGCGAATGGCGACGGTAGGACTTCCTTGGGGCAGGAAGACCGGGTAGTCACATGAAGATGCACCAGAAAGTGAGTGCACCAAGACTGAGAGCACAACAACTTCTTGGGACGTCAGTCGAGACCACCACTTCTCTGTGGCTTGTGCCACACGACCGTGAACCAGCAGACAGCCAAATTCACTCTCTGCTGCTTGGGCGAAAGAGTCTAGGGCTTCCTGAAGCAAGCCGGAGTGGGAGGGAAGCAAACAGTCGGCACACTGCGTCAGATCTCCCATAAATCCCTGATTGTCACTGACACGTTCCAAGAGCAGGTCGATCAGGCGGTAGCAAGAGCGCAACTCCCGTTTTAGCCGCTCCACGTTCCGTATGTTTGTCAGCTCATCCTGTCCCAGGACCAGGACCATGCAGTTCCACACATTCTCCAGCAGGCGGCGCAACTGCAACTCACTGATGGAAGAGCCCCCATCACCACTCACCGCAATCAACATCAGGCTCTCCTGAAAGACCCCCCAAACCACACGACTCCCTCGATCCGTCTCACAGCATGCTAACTGAGCCTCGTGGCCGGCGCCAAACATATGGACGCCATTTAGGGAGCCGATGATGGAAAAGGGAAGCTGCTTGGAGGAGCCTCGTGAGAACAGAGGGACCCCACTGGAGGCTGTGAGGCACAGCAGTTGGAGCGTCCCTGCTTGCAGCATAGTGAATGTAGACTGGGCTGGAAAGTTGCTCTAAACACCAGTCAGTGATGGAGACATCTTATAAAGCCTTTAGGTGCACAAAGACAAAAGAAATCAACACATGAGAAATTCAACACTGAACATACTGCAAAAGACACTAAACTAACAAGACACCTGTGTACGGTAAGATGCCCCCCTTAAGAACAATGTGCTTTTACTTTTAAATTGTAACATGTTTAGATATAAATGTAGCATGTGCAGGATGTTGATGCATCCGCCAGTGTGTTATTAAGGGAAATTGATAGAAACATTTGTTATTTTAGTTCTCATAGCACAAAATGTAACATTATTCATTTACATTTAATCATTTAGCAGATGCTTTTATCTAAAGTAACTTACAAATGAGGACAATAGAAGCAATCAAACCAACAAAAGAGCAACAAAATGTTAGTGCTGTGACAAGTCCCGGATAGTCTACCGCAGTACACGTAGCATTTTTTAAAATAATTAATCAAAAGTAGATAGAATAGAAATAGAATAGAGGGGGCTAGTGTTAGTGTCAGGTTATCATTGCTTTTTATAATAAATAAAAAGAAAACAAGAAGATAGAATCAAAAGAGAATAAAGAGTGCTAGTGTTAGAGGATTAAGTTTTTTTTTAGAATAAATAAAAAGAAAAAGTAGATACAAATAGAAATAAAATAGGATCACGCATCTTTCCCGCAGCAGCTCACTCTGTTTCATCCGCTATTTTTAGATGCATTTCATCCATAGAAATGCGTTATTCATTGCTGTAATTTAACGTGACTGGCGGACGTTTTCCGTGCGCGGTGGACAAACGCGACAATGACATTCATTGTCGATTATTTACATGATCGATTGTTATCGATCAGTTGTTGCAGCCGTAGAGTATTATATGACATGCTTAATTGCACCTATTTTAATTTAAGATATGTAATATTTGAGACACTATACTTTCGAACTGAATGGCTGCACTGAATAAGCCTATAGTATAGGTTTTAATGCATATCAAAGATATGCACATCAGGAATGTATAATTGACCCATGCAATTATTAAATAATAAAGTGAATGAACTTTGCGCCGAATTGAGGCAGTAATTAAAGCAAAAGGAGCCCCTACCAAGTATTGAGTACATGTACAGTAAATGAACATACTTTCTAGAAGGCCAACAATTCACTAAAAATGTTATATTGGTCTTATGAAGTATTCTAATTTGTTGAGATAGTGAATTGGTGGATTTTTGTTAAATGTGAGCCAAAATCATCCCAATTAAAAGAACCAAATTAAACTACTTCAGTCTGTGTGCATTGAATTTATTTAATACACGAGTTTCACAATTTGAGTTGAATTACTGAAATAAATGAACTTTTCCACGACATTCTAATTTATTGAGATGCACCTGTATATATATATATATATATATATAAATAAATAAAAAACTTGGTCTTATCCTTTCTTACTATACTAACTGGAAAAGCTGGTCTTTATGCAAAGTATACAAGCAAACATGACATATCTGCAGCAAAATTGCATTTTGTCTGTATGTTTTTCTTCAGTCTAATCATACAAACACTGAATGAACAAACCTGCTAATCCAAGCTGAAACATTCAGACTGTTGTAATAAGCGTTAGTTCGCGTAAGTTTATAGGTTTGACCAAGGATTTTCACTTACAGAATTAAGCCGCTAATGACTTAAGTAAACAATTGCTAATAAGAAAATGAATAAATTTTCTTGCCTGACTTTGAGAGTTGTAAACTTCACGTATCCACAGCAACATCTCCGACTACAGCGGTTCCGCTCTTCTTCGCGGTCAGTGAAAGTAAGAGAACTGATGGCTCCATACCGCCGCCATCCGGAGACTATATGTGAATGTAAGTAGAGTGTATAAAAACAGTTCATACTCTTGTTGTTGGCTCTGTTCAGAATTATTCAGCACTTAACTGCAATTTAATGTTTATCAATAATTTGTATTTTTATCATTCCTGAACAGTCTAGTATAGTATAGTAACAGTATAGAACTTTAATATGAAATAGTCAACACCCACTTATTTTCAACAATACTAGTTTATGATTAAAGGGGTCATATGATGCTGCTAAAAAGAACATTATTTTGTGTATTTGGTGTAATGAAATGTGTTTATGTGGTTTAAGGTTAAAAAACATTATTTTCCACATACTGTACATTATTGTTTCTCCTCTATGCCCCGCCTTTCTGAAACGTGTCGATTTTTACAAAGCTCATCGGTCTGAAAAGCGAGGTGTGCTCTGATTGGCCAGCTATCCAGTGCGTTGTGATTGGCCGAATACCTCGAGCGTGAGACAAATGTTCCGCTCCTTACCATATTGTGATGATGCCCTGTCCGGCCGGAGCGATGATTCAAAAACATTAAAACCCATTATAAACGAGGCATTTGTTGCATCCAGAGGGGACATAATTATGGATTATAATGACTTATACTGTCTTTTTACGCGTTGCATCGCGCTGCGTAAACATAAAACTATGTCTGCATTTGTGATCGGAGAAATGACAAACAACAAGCCCTACTCTACACTGCCGCTCGTGAGGAATGGCCGGAGGGCTAGAGTGAGCAGAGGCGGCGGGCTTGAGAATCGCGCGGTCGGCGATTTCGACGAAGGAGCGTCCGGAAGGACATGTGACGACTCCGGGCTGGACTCCACTTCGTCCACGGTGAAAGCCGATCTGGCGATCCACAGCGCAAAGTTGTAGTATTTCCTCAACAACCAGCACGGATCAGCTCTAGGCATGACGAAGCAGATATCGTCCTCTTTTGGAAGGCCAAACAAAGTAGTTTCGCTTTCACAACGAATCACACAGTGCCTTCACGACATGGCGGCGACAACAATACTACAGCGAGAATAAAAGTTACGCCTTCTTTCTTTGCGTGAACATTTGGGCGGCGTTATGCAAATCTTCCCACATAGCGACGTAGATATGTGGGGGCGTGTTAGAACGAGGCGTTTTAAGTGAGGCGTGGCTGACTCTTAACTTTTATAAAGAATATCTCTTTGGATTTGAAACTTTAGTCTTTGCAACTTTACAGATCTTCTTTATGCACCAAGAGCTTGTAACATTCCAAAGGGAAAGGACAAATTTAAATCGCATCATATGACCCCTTTAAGTCAAATCTGATGGATTTTTTTTTGTTTTTTAATGAACTGGAACTAGCAGCCAAAAACACAATTTAAGATTTGACATGTATTCACTGGCATGTTTAAACATTTGAACAATTTTAATCAAATACATTGGTCTTTCTAAACATTTACAAATTGACAAAACTACAGTGTCTGTAGTTCAAAATAGACCAAGTATTTTTAATGTCGCTTATCTTTGTTTTCAACAAATGAAATGCTTAATTCATACCAGAATGAACAAGATTAACACCTTAAAATGCAATCAACTCTGCATTGACACCCATTGTGAGACACTTACAATTGGCAAGTCAAATGTAAACCACTGAGTATCTTTGAGTGATGCTGCGGTCTTTGGCATGTTTTATCCATCTAAACAAGTCAATGAAAGTAATTCAAAATGAAAAAAAAATGTAAGTAATCATTTAAACAGTGTAGGAATCACAACAGAATGTAATCAATTATTCCTGGACAGAATTCTGGTGAGAACATAGTTCCTTGTTTTCAGTCCTTTTAAGTCAGTATAAACAGCTCAGATATGGTATGTTTCATTTAACCTACTAGATTGCACTCTTATGCTCCTTACTGTTTGTGTATTATTTTGTGTAATTATTTCGATTATGTCATTATACCAGTCTCTTTATTGGTATTAAATATAAGCAATGTATACTCCTGCTTGTAGTTTTAATGGGTAGTTGACACACCTTAGATAACTGTTGGTTAAATTACAAACATTTCAGATTGTTGTTAAGATCATCAACTAGCCAATAATAAAAAATATATAAAATAAATCAGATAAAACGCATGCCATGTTTAAACATTTTATTTTAGTCCAGCTCTGTTCCTCTTCACTCCACCTCGCTATCATAGCATACAGTATATAACAGCATCAGTTCTGAAAAAAGCTGAATTGCTAAGCCACATTCTATTATGGTAAACAGTACCACAACGACCAGAATATGTGCCAGAGAACTAAATTTTTCAGGTTGAAGTTCCATATTCTAGAAGGAAGGAGGCAGCTATTAAATTACAAAGAAAGCAAGTAAAAGAAAAGTAATACAATGCGTGAGAAGAGACATTTCTACATTTGTGATTTAGATTTGCTGACTGGCTTTTCATTTGTAATACTTCATCCTGTGCAAATTTCTAAATGGCTATTTGGGGGGTCCAAAAAGCGATCAAAAAGACTAATTTCTTCACAATTATTTCAGGAATGAACGAGAAGTCAGGAATTACAAATCACGTCACTGCTTGAGACATAAAGATTTTTAAATTACATCAGGTAAATTGACAAAAAAACATTACAATTGATCGGAATGCAATTTTATGGCTTTTTGATTTGTCTTCATTAACAAGGCACCAGAGACGAATGACAAGATTGCTGCACCTCATAGAAGATAAACTAATAAAATCAGCAAAAAGCCTTGAAGAGAGGCTCCTTCTTAAAGTTGCAGTATGTGGAACTGGCAAGGAGAGGATACTTGAGACATCATTGGTCCTCTTTACATGCCCATGCGAATGCTCTGAATGATCTGGAATATTGCTGAGGGAAAAAAAAATAATAATAGAACATTATAGAAGGCTGACATTCCAGCCTTCAGAAAAGTATTGAGAGTATTGAAAACCTGAACTTGGTGAAGTCAAGGCTTAACATAAATGCCAGCTTCGGTATTAAGCAGAATATAATGGGCCATTGTGCTAGTGGATATTTATGTTTCTCCACTCTTTTCTCTCACAAAAAAGAAACCTATCTGCTTTTCCCAAAGAGTGTCATCTCTAACAGTGTAAACCTTATGCTTCTCCAAAGCGCAAAAGTTAGGGCAAGCAAACAGAGAGCAAGATGACCAAAACCATGCAACGAAAATGTAATTTGTTCAAAGCAAACATATTCTAGAAGTCAACAGGTAAAAACTCTGCAAGAACTGGCAGCAACCCATAAATCAGGTCAGAGCATGTGCCACATCAAATTCAGATGGGGCTATTTATGACATTGTCAAAAAGGCTACAACTTTTAATGGGGTCATATGATGCGATTTCAAGTTTTCCTTTCTCTTTGGAGTGTTACAAGCTGATTGTGCATAGATAATATCCCTGAAGTTGCAAAGACTAAAGTCTCAAAACAAAAGAGATACTCTTTATCAAAGTTAAGACTCTGCAGCGCCCCCCTAAAACGGCTCGTTCTAACACGCCCCCACATATCTACCTCACTATGTGGAAATATTTGCATAATGCGGCCCAAATGTGCACGCAAAGAAAGAAGTCGTGGTTTCAGTAACCGCAGTTAGTGTTGAAGCAGCCATGTCAGGGAGATGCTGTGCGTTTCTAAGCGAAAGCAAAAGCACTTTATTTGGCCTTCCGAAAGTAGATGCATTTAGGAATCTTTAAGATTACTAACATTAAAGCATGTCAACATATTCTGTTACACCAAATAATGATTTTTAAAAAAAAGCATCATATGACCCCTTTAAGCAATGTCTTAACGCCTCCGAGCTCCAAGAGATCCGTTGCTCTTCCTGGGAGTACCTAAAGCACTTGTTGGCAATGTTCTTCAATGCTGTTTTAAGAGTAACAGCACCTGCAGATCCACGTGTTGTACCCAGTGAAAATAAGCAGATAAAGTCATGCTATCAGTCCAGCACTGTCCATGTAAATAGTGTGCATTATTATCTCGGCCTTCACTACAGTGCAAGGTTTTACAGTGTGCCAAAAAATGAGTGGAGGTCAGCTTTGTCTACCTACCTTGGACTAAACAAAAACTTATGCAACTTATAGTATAAAAATAAAATATTATTTATTTTAATGTGTTTATTATTTGGTCTAAGATATGACAGATCACTTGGAAATCGTTTGTATTGGGAAGTATACTCACCTGAGCCGCAGACAACAAAGACGAAGAGCGCCAAGAGCCACGGTCCCACCGAAACTTTATCATCACTGACGTTTCTCTGCGTGAATTGACATGAAATCAGATGCAATCGCGCAGTTTTTAGTTGTATAGTAGTTAGTAGTAGAGCAGTGGGATTTACTGCTCTACTACTAGCATACACAGCAGTACTGAGAACCACTATTTCACTGCAAAAATAATCATTCCTAATATTAATAATACCTTTAAACGCTTCACTTTAAAATCAGTTAAGTTAATACCTTACATTAAGTTAATTTCACTTCTGTTGTTACATTATCGAGCATCAAGAAGAGTTGTCGTACCGATGATTTGACGTTGCCTCTCTGGGTGATGTTTTTGCTGTGTTTCTCGTTGGCCATACGAATCCTCTGTTTGGCGACCATTGTTACAAATGCTGGTGGTTTGTAAAAAATGAGCTGGACACGGTCACAAATACTACGAACTCAAACTATTGAGGATGAAGAGAAAACTACGTCGATTGTTTTTTGTCTACGTACACAGAATGTATAGCTCCGCCCACACCGGAAGATCGCAAATGGACTGACGCTCGGGCTGGTGTTGCCAAGTCCGTGGTTTCCCCGCGGAATTGAGCTTCTTTATCACTGTTGCCGCGGGTTAAAGCGACCCCGATAACGTGATATTTTGCCCATGGAGTGCGAATTTTACCAGGGGAACCCCGCCAAAACCGTGTATTTTAGCCTCCAAAGCGCAATTTTTTAATGGGGAGCTCACCTCGAAATGCGATTAGGCTAGTTTTGAGCAGCAATTGGGAGGGTGTTGTTATTGAAACCTGGCAACCCTGGCTCGGACCGCCCAGCTTTTTGAAAAACGCTGATAATAAACGTCAGGACTACATTAACTAAATTTAGTTTGATAAATGTTGTACCAGCCTTGCATAGTGTGTAGAGCTTGATCGAGACCTTCGATTTGGCATATAAATCTTGGATTATTGCTTATGTCTGTGGTGTTAAAAATGTATATATATATTTCATTGCATTGTATGTCATTTAAAACCGTTTCATGTGGTTTAAAACAGCTAGGAGAAATGTAACTTTATTTCTGGAAATAGCAAATACTCATTTTTGAAAGAAATTGTTCTTTTTGAGTGGGATCTTTCAATGAATCGTTTGAACCGGTTTGCAAAAACGATCTGGATAATTTTTTCAGGATTCGGACAGAAAAATACACTAACGTTACTCGCATCTAAACTTTGACTAGGCTAGATATGTTGCCTATTAATTGTATACAGTATAAGAACCTGAAAGCATATTTTAATTTTTGTGTATTTTGTGTTACTCCATAATAATGTTCTAGTTGAGGGCATTTGTAGTATAGGTATGGGGCCCAAACATAACCTCAAGCCCAGGGGCCCCCGGCCCCATAAGTCCTGCCCTGGAGCCGAGAACCGATAAGTGATATGCTGATATGTTTTGAATGACTATTTATTTATTAGTTGAATGTCTACAGTTAACTGAACTGGGAAATATTAATTTATAATAAGCGTCATTGCGTGATTAAGTAAAGGAATAGCTGAATTGTTTTAGTTTTTTTTTTTATTCATGCCAACTACATATTGTATCAACAAATACAGAATAACAAGAACAATAGAAAATAATACATATCACACAATAACAATAATACATTTACACATTAGGTTAAACATTAAAAGTAATTTTTGACTTTTCAAAGATTGTTTTATGCCTATTAAAGGCAAACCATTGGAATTTTTATCTACTAAAAATGACAGTAGCGGGTTCTTGCCCAAGAATTAGCATTTGTGTATTAAAAAATGGATAAGTATTATAACAAAGACGAACAATGTACTGAATACAAGAATTTAACACAAGCTTTAACACAAACATATTCACAAAAAAGATAAACAATCATCTCTTCGATGTCACAGAAGTTTTTTGAAACGGTCGTCCATAAAATGCATTGCTGTTCTGTTGTAAGTAATCTTAAAGATTTCTAAATGCATCTACTTTCCGGAAGGCCAAAAAAAGTGCTTTTGCTTTCGTCCTAGAAACACACAGCGTCTCCCTGACATGCTGCTTCAACACTAACTGCGGTTACTGAAACCACGCCTTCTTTCTTTGCGTGCACATTTGGGCGGCATTATGCTAATATTTCCACATAGTGAGGTAGATATGTGGGGGCGTGGCAGAGTCTTAACTTTGATAAAGAATATCTCTTTGGTTTTGAGACTTTAGTCTTTGCAACTTCAGGGATCTTATCTATGCACAATCAGCTTGTAACACTCCAAAGAGAAAGGACAACTTGAAATCGCATCATATGACCCCTTTAATATGTTTGAGCGTACTTGAGGTGTAGCATCTATGCAATTTTTTAAATCTTTTTTGTTAACGCCATCCGTTATTTATTTATTTAGTTAGTTAGTTATTTGAAGCGGTTCTTTGAAACGAAATGTTCAAAAGAACTGACTCGTGGAGCTGAGACTTTCTTCGTCAAAATCATAGACTGTATAAAAACATGGACGTAGTGTCCGTGACGTCACCCGTAGACTTTCCCGAAGAGCGTTTTTGAAGCTCAAAAGTGGGCGGAGCGCGCGTCACTCCCGGATAATCGAAAATGGTCAAAGAGGCGGGAGCAGAGTATAAAAACATGGACGTAGTGTCCGTGACGTCACCCGTAGACTTTCCCGAAGAGCGTTTTTGAAGCTCAAAAGTGGGCGGAGCGCGCGTCACTCCCGGATAATCGAAAATGGTCAAAGAGGCGGGAGCAGATTGCTGAAGCCACGCCCACCTAGCTCGACGGTGGTGACAGCAGCTGCAATCGGTCACTCAAGTGGCCACGCCCTTAATTATGCAGATATAATTTAAACGGATGAGTTATAAAAAAATTCCCCCCCCCTCACAGTTGTCATGAAGGGCAAAAATTGCTATATAGACCAAAATAATTTTTTGAACCAGGCTGTAAACGTTTTTTTCTGCTGTAAAGTTGGGCATTTTAACATGGGGAGTCTATGGGATTGAGTCCCTTTTGCAGCCAGCGGCCAGTTGATGAATTACAGTTTAAGTCACTTCCTTCTTGGCTTCACGAGAGAGAGCCGGAGGTTGCCGCTTGGTCAAAATATGTGACTCCACGTCAAGCAATCGCGAACCAATCCCGGCGTGGTTTACTGGATGACCCGTATGAAATCCAGTACACCACTTCCTGTTTTCAGTTCAGTAACTAGTCGTCGTGGGGGAGATGCGTTGGTTACCTCTCTCGGTTGTAATATTGTGGGCCTGTTGCCTTTACAGTGCCTCTGCGGATAACAGTGGCGTCAAGAAAATGAAGGTGCAGTTTGCCACGGGTCCTCTTCTCAAATTCCAGATTTGGTGAGTGGGAGTTTGGGCGTTTTTATGTCGGTCGGTCCCCGGTACAAGCCGAGTGTATGACATCGAGTGTGTTGATAATAGCGCTGCTCGACGTGATTAACCTCGCAGAGATATTAACCACACTTACTGTAAGCAACGGAATGTGTACTGTCACAGTATACCAAGCGTTCATTTGTCTCATATGGCACAAGTAGCCTCGCAGATAACCTCGGTAGGATGTTATAATCGTCCGGTAATCCGGTGTTAAACGGAGGACTGTCCTTTGAGGATTAGGCAGCAAATCATCATATTAGAATGATTTCTGAAGGATCATGTGACATTGAATAATATAGGACTAATGATGCTGAAAATTCAACTTTGCATCAAAGGAATACATTTATATTAAAATAGATTTAAAGAATTATGGGCTGCATGGTGCTTGAGGCATTGTTGGTCATTTAGTGTTTCTGTAAAAAAAAAAAACAGAACAGTAACGGTACTACAACAATAATGCTATTAATTCTTCTAGTGTATGTATGTGCATGTAAATTATGTATTCATATAGTGTCTTTTTTTCTCCCCCCCCCCAGGCACATTGCTTCCTTTCTGTCTATGTTTAAGTTGTTGTTAATCGGCGTGATCATTGTGGGCAAGGATCCATTTGCTCTATTTGGCATGCAGGCCCCAGGTCTCTGGGTTTGGAGTCAGGAGAATAAGGCAGGACCTCAGACTTTTCCTGTTTTCCTGAGATTTTTTCATTTGATGGTTTAGGTTCTTGTTCTTAACTGAAATCTATTTGAGTAGTAGATTCCAAATTCAAACTTTTTCCCCATGGAGCTCATTAGTTTGTAACTTTGTAACACCTCAGTGACGTCTGTGGTTATTGGAGAGTGTAATACACTAGAGACCAAAGAGCAAGCTCCCATGTTAATGTTCACCTGACTCTTTCTGCACTATTTCTGAAATGTAGGCATTAAAGTCCACGTGAACCAGAAGCTGTTGCCAACTTTATTTCAGTATAGTGACGTATTGAAGAATGACGTTTGTAAATGTTTATTTCATGCAGACTTAAAAGTACAGAAGAAAACCTTCGGCATTCTTTAAATTTAATTTTTTACTATTATTCTTTTGTACGTTTCAGTGTGAAAAAAGTAGCACACAAGTTATGTATAAACCATCCACAAAATAAAGTATTAAGTATAAAGTATGTACAAACAAACTAGCTGCAGCAATGCATGTTTAATTTTATTGTTATTATTATTTTTTTTTTTTTAGATATATGCCTGTATGATGGTGTTCTTCTTCAGCAATATGATCGAGAATCAGTGTATGTCTACGGGTGCTTTTGAAATCACACTCAATGGTAAGCGTAGTTGATTCCTAAATTGAGCATTACATGTTTATAATTTACATTTTTGTTTACATTATATCTGTTTCTTAATAATAAGTTACTTTATTTGTAGTATATTTATTGTATATTAATTTACCTAAACCCATACATATTATTTTTTTTTTAAATGGGATGATTGAATGATTTTGAAGTTTAGAAAATCCTTTTTATGACCCTTTTCAGAAAAACTTAATCGGTCTTGACCCATGGCATTCAAGCTCCTTTTGTGGAATAGCACATAGAAAATGTGTTATGTAAGAAATTGTTTATCAAATCAGAAGAATTAGTGTTGTTCTCTGTCTATCAGACATGTTAAGCATATGGTTTTGTTGACCTCATTAAAGAGAAGCAGTGTGGCGATAGCCTAATTCGGTGGTTTAGTCTGGCGGAAGTTAGCAAAATGGCGTTGGTTGTATTATCACCATAGTGACACTATTTTGGTGCATTTTTTGGTTAGATGTTCCAGTTTGGTCCAAGCTGGAGTCAGGCCATCTGCCTTCCATGCAGCAACTACTGCAAATTCTGGAGAATGAGATGAAGATGAACGTGCACATGGACACACTTCCACACCATCGCTCGTAACCTTGCCTCTGATTCACTGAATTGAGCTGACGACCCCTCCTCGTATGTTTAACCATCATTACCCTACCATATATTAAATTAATTTCTATTCAAAATATTGCCTTTTGTTTTAAAAAATACCTGTAATGTAGACGCTACAATGTTTGGGGTCAGTAAGATTTTTTTTTATGTTTCTTATGCTCACCAAGGCTGCATAAGAAATATTTGTACAATTTAATCACCAAGTCTGCATTTGTGTGCTCACAAATAAAGTAAAAACACTAATATTGGGATCTAGTATTACCATTTAAAATAACTTTTTAATTTTCTAATTTAATATATTTTAAAGGGGTGGTTGCCTTTTTTTTCTAGGCTTGATTGTGTTTATGGGTTGCAGTCTAACATGTGTTAATGCTTTGTTTAAAAAAAAACTATTTACCTTTATTCCACACCACTCTGTCCCTTCTCCTATTAAATCGCTGATCATTTCTTGCTTTTATGAAGCCTCTCCCTCAGAAATAGGCGATGGGCTCTGATTGGTTACCTAGTCCAGTGTGTTGTGATTGGCTAAACCGCCTCTAGTGCACGTCTAATTGTCCCGCCCCTCACCTCAACGGCATGTGCTCCGGTTGTATTGTAAACAATTGCGTCGTCTATATCTCATCAATTTGATCTCGATTGAGATGCAGAGTATATTAGTGAAGAGGACCGCGCAGAACCTGTGCAAGCACGGCTCTTAATGGTATGTTTTTTGTTTGTTGTTGTCTCATTTAGATACGGTGTTATTTGTAAATGCTAGTGCTTCTGTTATCTATTCTAATATATGGTTTTATCCTGATTAAATTTTTTTTCTAGGCTTGATTGTGTTTATGGGTTGCAGTCTAACATGTGTTAATGCTTTGTTTAAAAAAAAAACTATTTACCTTTATTCCACACCACTCTGTCCCTTCTCCTATTAAATCGCTGATCATTTCTTGCTTTTATGAAGCCTCTCCCTCAGAAATAGGCGATGGGCTCTTATTGGTTACCTAGTCCAGTGTGTTGTGATTGGCTAAACCGCCTCTAGTGCACGTCTAATTGTCCCGCCCCTCACCTCAACGGCATGTGCTCCGGTTGTATTGTAAACAATTGCGTCGTCTATATCTCATCAATTTGATCTCGATTGAGATGCAGAGTATATTAGTGAAGAGGACCGCGCAGAACCTGTGCAAGCACGGCTCTTAATGGTATGTTTTTTGTTTGTTGTTGTCTCATTTAGATACGGTGTTATTTGTAAATGCTAGTGCTTCTGTTATCTATTCTAATATATGGTTTTATCCTGATTAAAGCTTTAATACAGTACAGCAACCGCACACGTTCCATGTTTAACGCTTCTCATAGCTATGTAAAATTTAATATATTTTAAAGGGGTGGTTGCCTTTTTTTTCTAGGCTTGATTGTGTTTATGGGTTGCAGTCTAACATGTGTTAATGCTTTGTTTAAAAAAAAAACTATTTACCTTTATTCCACACCACTCTGTCCCTTCTCCTATTAAATCGCTGATCATTTCTTGCTTTTATGAAGCCTCTCCCTCAGAAATAGGCGATGGGCTCTGATTGGTTACCTAGTCCAGTGTGTTGTGATTGGCTAAACCGCCTCTAGTGCACGTCTAATTGTCCCGCCCCTCACCTCAACGGCATGTGCTCCGGTTGTATTGTAAACAATTGCGTCGTCTATATCTCATCAATTTGATCTCGATTGAGATGCAGAGTATATTAGTGAAGAGGACCGCGCAGAACCTGTGCAAGCACGGCTCTTAATGGTATGTTTTTTGTTTGTTGTTGTCTCATTTAGATACGGTGTTATTTGTAAATGCTAGTGCTTCTGTTATCTATTCTAATATATGGTTTTATCCTGATTAAAGCTTTAATACAGTACAGCAACCGCACACGTTCCATGTTTAACGCTTCTCATAGCTATGTAAAAATAAGTGTATAAATGGAACAGTTCATTGTTTGAGCTGAGCTGAATGAGAGAGAGATGCAGCAGAGCAGGGCGACGTGAGGAACAGGATGAGAACGCTGCTTTAGAACATTGATTTTGAAACTTGTGAATCCATTAGAATCGTTAGAAAACAGAATCGCGATTCATATATAAATAGAGGTTTGTGCACCCCTAGTTTTAACGGCAATGCAACAACTCTTCCTCTTCTCTATGGCCTCACCCCCTTTGCTGCCTTTTCCCGAGGGTGGGGTTTATCTGGGTGTGTGATGTCACAAACCCAGGAAGTAACTTGTTGTAGTCCCTACCAGCCGTTTTTGTAGGCATTAAACTGCCAGAATTTTAAAAGACAATATCTCCGTTTGCATTGAACTTTCAGCGCCGCAACTTTGCAGATATTGTTTATGCTCAAACAGCAACATTACACACTACCTAACGCTAAAAAGTGAAATCTCGATCAACCACCCCTTTAAAATGTAATTTATTCCTGTGATGGCAAGGCTGAACTTTCATTTGCCATTACTCTGGTCTGCAGTGTCTCATGATGCTTTTGAAATCATTCTAATATAAAATTTGTCAATATTTGGCGAGTAGAAAGTTTTTAAAAGAACGGCATTTATTTGAAATACAAATGTTGTAACATTTTAAATGTCTTTACTGTAATAATTGATCAGTTTATTGCATTTTTGCTACAGTAAATAAAAGTATTAAAAAACTTACCGACGCCAAACTTTTGAACAGTAGTTTAATAGGGAAGCAGCAACTACACAACACTGAAACTGACAACAAATGTGTTTATTGAATTTTAATGGTTTGATTGTTTTCTTAATCTGAGTGTAGTTTAGCCAAAAATGTGTAGTTGCTTTTTTTTTTTTTTTTGTAGTGGAATATATTAATATATATTTTCATGAAACAGTGAGTTAAAGCAGATGACTAGTGATATTGCTTTTCCCCCCCCCCCATGTTACTGGTGGTCTCCCGTGGGGTGACGAAGGGCTCGAGGAATCCCAGGATCTGTGAGTACTTCCACTTCTTCACTGACCCTGCTGCTGACCCACTCCTCTTCTCCATCTCCTTCCTCTTCTCCTTCAGGTAGGTGTCCCTGAGGCTTTTCCACTTTTTTCTGCACACGTGCTCTGAATAAACACATTATCTTGTTAGCGAAAAGTAGCTGTAGGGGGGAAATAGTTGTAAAATTCACCTCATTCACGCCGCGAGACCTCCAGACGCGTGTAAACACGTCTTTACATTGACTTAACATTGAAATCATTCGCGCCGGACGCTCTATTCGCGTTTGGTGTGAACGCAGCATAAGAAAGACTTTAACTATTAACCATCGCTTACGGCCAACTTGTGTACGCATATTCACGAGAGGGTCAGGTTTACACGTTAAGTAAACGTAAACACATTGTGAAGCTCATGCAAGAACTAACAGTCCTCTGCGGTTTTGTGTCACTTCTCGAGTGACCTTCACAATCATCCAAATGTAAGTCATATACTGTACATCTGGGATGGCATGAGCGTAAGCAAATGATAAGAGAATATTCATTTTTGGCCTTGCTGTGCCTTTAATATTTTTTTCCTATGGTCACGTTTGATGTTAAACCTCTATATCAGGGGTGCCCAAACTCGGTCCTGGAGGGCCTGCAGAGTTTAGCTCCAACTTGCCTCAACACACCTGCTGGTAAGTTTCTAGTATGCCTGTAAAAGCTTGATTAGCTGGTTCAGGTGTGTCTAATTGGGGTTGGAGCTAAACTCTGCAGGACACCGGCCCTCCAGGACCGAGTTTGGGCACCCCTGCTCTATATAATGTAAAAGAAAATTATTATTTATATATTTTTTGTAAGATGAGTCACATTTTCATTACTGAATTACACAACTTTCAATAGGAATCTACGCAAGAGGGAAATCAACCCAATTTCATTGCAGATGGCGATTTCGTATGCAAATGTACAATGTGAATGGTACAAAAACATAATTTTTAGAAAAAAGTAAGCGTGAAGGTCTACCTCAAAACATAACTGTCACTAGGGGATACCATTCGAAAACAAACGAATGAGCCACAATGTAAAATAGTCCTGAATTGCTACCACATTGGCCACAACAGAAAGCTGCTTTGTTTGAAAGTGACATCTGTCTTAGCAGTACTTCCTGTGTCACTATACACCATTGACAATAAACATTAGAACTACTTTGTTCTCTCCCACAAAAACTGAAGTGACTGCACCTTTAGTCAAGTGAAATTACTCATGATGTTTTGTACGCTTTTTCGAGCACGTCAGTTCATGGACAGGCCTGCAGACAGCGCTGGATAAAGACCTTTTCTGGCTCTTCCATTTGTACTCTGTGGCTCAAACTCCGCAGCCTTCGGACCAGCGAGTGGAGGAAAGGTGGAGGTCTGACCCGTAGGTGTGTTGAGCTGGATGGGAAGGCTTGGCACTGCTGTAACCGTATCAGAGCCATGTGAAGGCCAACCCTGCATGCCAGAAGTACTAGTTCCTCTTTGCACATGAGGATTTGAGGAGGTATGTTGTGTTCTTTGGACTGTAAGCAATGACATGGCAGACACAACATTTAGCCTGACCGATCTGAGTTGAGTAGTAAGCGTGACAGATCAAGAAAACAAAAATTGGCAATCAGATTAAACAGAAAAGACTTGTGTACGTTCTTACTGACTCACAGCTGCCTACTCTGAACCTGGCTTGCTGTCCAGAAGCAAGGAATGACACAAACACCAGCTGTTGCCCAAGAACACGAACCCCTATATTTCTGTTGAGCGACAGAAAGAGTGGTCTCAGGGGGGTTGTTGATTGCTCCATGTTCTGATCCTTCTCCCGCCTTCATCTAGACTCCGTCCACCCCAAGCATCCATACTCAACCTGCTCCACAGGAAACCAAAGCCACACCAGAGCTGTCAGAGGCAGAGCAGATTCAGTTATGTCATTTGTGTTTTTACTGTTCAATTAATACTTTTAACCCGAGGTTAGAGGGGTAGTTCACCCAGAAATGAAAATTCTGTCATCATTTACTCTCACCCTCATGTAGTTTCAAACCTGTAAATCTTCTGTTCATCTTCGGAACACAAAGATATTTTTTTATTGATTAATTAAAAATACTTTAATAAAACGGATAGTTCCGGTCCTTGATTCTGATTGGTTGAGCCAAGTTCGAAGCCGTTGTAAATTACTCTACAAACATACACCTTTGTTTACATTTGTGTGTTGCTCGGCAACCACTTTGTTGGAACCACAGCATTTCTGAGGAACTACATTGTTTGGCGGAAGAATAATGTTTTATTAACATCATTTTGTGAAACCTTACTACGTATATGGAATAACTGTTTTATAAAAGTAATAAGCCCCATGAAGCCGTGGTTTACAGTGAATTTATAACAGCTAAGGGGCGTTGTTAGGCATGACGCGAAGCGGATTAAATTCATTGTAAACTATGGCTTCTTGGGGCTTACTGCTTTATTAATAGTCTTTTATCTATTTTGTCCATCCATTGAAAGTCCATAAATGTTTACACTTTAAAAAGTACCATAAACATTTGACCATGTTTGAGCTTCCGTTTACTATATTTACTGTACTTTTACTTTGTCATTTAGCAGATGCGTTTATCCAAAGCGACTTACAAATAAGAAAAAGTCATTAAAACTAAAAGCTAAAACTCTATAAATACTATATATATACACACATTTAAGAAAATAAAAGAAATTAAATCAAAATGACAAATATTTGATGTGCTCTATGTACACTCTTAAAAATAAAGGTGCTTCACGATGCCGTAGAACAGGGGTGCCCAACCCTGCTCCTGGCGATCGACTGTCCTGGAAAGTTCAGCTCCAACCCTAATCAAACTCACCTGAAGCAACTAATTAGGGTCTTCAGGATCACTTAAAAATTAAAGGCAGGTGTCTTTGATTAGAGTTGGAGCTAAACTTTGCAGGACAGTCGATCGCCAGGAGCAGGGTTGGGCACCCCTGCCGTAGAAGAACCTTTTTGTCTAAATGGTTCCATAAAGAACCTTTAACATCTGAAGAACCTTTCTGTTTCACAAAAGGTTCTTTGGGGCGAAAGAAGGTTCTTCAGATTATAAAAAGTTAAGAAAGAGGTGGTTCTTTAAAGAACCTTTGACTGAATGGTTCTTATATGGCATCGCTTGAAGAACCTTTTGAAGCACCTTTATTTTTAAGAGTGTATGTGCGTTGATCAGTGTCAAATAAAAGCCTAAATTAAACATGTTCTTCAGAAGACTTGTATTAAACCACTTGATTCATAAGGATTGCATTTACAAAGTCTTTTTGAAAAATGCGAATCTTCCAAATTTTGGTTGCTTGGACTTTCCGTCAAACGTTTCATCCACTGAAACACTGCCCATTTCGTATTTTACTTTGTGCTTTGAAAATAACCTAAAGTGTTATGGGTTTGGAATGAAATGAGGTCAAGTAAATGACAATTTTTTTGGGGGGTGGGAGTTGGGGTGAACTAAACATTTGAAGTTAAAATGTATTAGTGTATGTAGAATTAAACATTAACACTGTAGATTAATGAATGCTATATCATCTGTCTATCTTTTTAATGCAAATCAGTTTTTAACAAAAAAATATGAAAACAAAAATCTGAACAAATTAATAGTTTTCTCTGCATCATAAGCTGTGATAGAAGAACATATATTGACAAAAGAAATACACACCACTCTTTTTTTTAGAATGGGCTTCTATGCAGAAGAAAACCATTAATGTAAAACTACTGTATTGCTTCTTGGACTGTGATGTTGATTTTTTAAAATTATTATTAGGCCTATTAATTTTTTTTAGAAGATTGTGTTTCTGAATAAAAATGTGGAAGTAATGTTAAAAGGATAGTTCACCCAAAAATAAACATTCTGTCATCAATTACTTACCTCATGTTCTTTTAAACCTGGATGACTTTCTCAGAAGATATTTTGAAGAAACAGTAACAGGCATTTCTAAAAATATATTATTTTATGCTCCACAGAAGAAAATCATACAGGTTTGGAATGACATGAGGATGAGTAAATCTTGACAGAATTTTCACTTTTGAGTGAACTATCCCTTTAAGCGTTTCAGAATGTCCCATCCTCAGTAAGATCATTAATCGGTCCACTTGAGACTTTTGAGAACTGTGTCAGTGTAATAGCAATTGACATTACCAAATGCTGCCGTTGCTATGGTAACAAGTGGCTCTGCCATTAGTGAGTGACGTGACGTGGCCAAGTATGGTGACCCATACTCGGAATTAGTGCTCTGAATTTACCCATCCAAAGTGCACACACACAGCAGTGAACACACACACACCGTGAACACACACCCGGAGCAGTGGGCAGCCATTTATGCTGCGGCGCCTGGGGAGCAGTTGGGGTTCAGTGCCTTGCTCAAGGGCACCTCAGTCGTGGTATTGAAGGTGGGAGAGAGCGCTGTACATTCACTCCCCCCGCCTACAATCCCTGCCGGTACGAGACTCGAACCCACAACCTTTGAGTTACGAGTCCGACTCTCTAACCATTAGGTCATTAGACTGAAAGAGGGCTCTGATTGTATGATAGAGATCCTTTCTGCTGAGAATGATGAGAGCCAAGTTTCCTGAAGGATAGCTATAGCCATGACAATAAGGACAAACAACAGCAAAACGTAATTTAACTCCATTTTCAAATCATCTTATCCTGAGGTGTTAAATCCTGCATGGATACATCAATACAGTATCATGGAAAAGATTTCCGTTACCAGTGGCATCGAAGAATTACCTTATTTCTATAATGATATTGAACTTTTACCACACTTTTACTCTTGTGTACTTTAAAATACTTATAGTTAGTGTTGTCTGTCTTTTAGTAAAATCTAAATTTACAAACAATCCCAGAAATGATTAATTACTTGATTAGCCCAACATATGAAATAATAGTCCTTTATAACATATAAATGACTTTTAAACAAAACACATTCATTTCTGATCTTTATAACAGTATAGCAGACAACTTACATAAAATGCTTATAATACTCTAAATCTCCCAATAATTAGTTTTAGTAAGATATTTAAATGCTTAGTTTTGTGATTAAAGCTGTTTTTTGTGTGTGTGTGTGTGTGGTGGGAAAACATATAGGCCTACTGCAATGTAATATAATGATAATTGAGAAATGTACAAATAAACATTCCTCAAAATCCTGATGCGATGATGTACCTGATGTGCATGATTTAAAAAAAAAAGAAGATGTATGGATAATCAAGTAAACCCGAGTGGTTTCAGTCCAGTAATTGTTCATCTTGAAATACTAACAATATATAAGTTATTCTTACTTATACTTTATAACAATCAGAAAAAAGACATGTGTACCACAACCTGAAAGGGTAAGTTTTTAGAATGATACCCCTTATGCTTACCAAAACAAAACAAAAAACTATCAATCAGAAAACAGAAGGCATAGTAGATTGTGTACAACAGGTTTTTCAGCAAAGTTTGGATCATGTTGATAATTTAGAAGCCTTAGAAATTTACATATCAAATACGATACAGTAGGTTTTATGGGGTTAAGTAACAATTGATAAGCATAACCACTTTCACACAACTATTGCAGCTTAAAGCAGCACTATGTAACTTTTGGCGTTCTAGCAGTTAATAAACAGAACTGCACACATCCCGCAGAAGAACATTCCAACCGGAGCTACTTCTCTACAATAGTCCAAATATAAGTACTTATTATAAGTGTACCGTAGTGATTCGGAATAAAACAAAAATGCGGTTTGGAAGATGAATTTGTGATGTACTCGCTCATTATATACATATTTTGAACACAGAAAAAGTTACATATACTCTTAAAAATAAAGGCGCTTCACGATGCCATAGAAGAACCTTTTTGTCTAAATGGTTCCATAAAGAACCTTTAACATCTGAAGAACCTTTCTGTTTCACAAAAGCTTCTTTGTGTCGAAAGAAGGTTCTTCAGATTATAAAAAGGTAAGAAAGAGATGGTTCTTTAAAGAACCTTTGACTAAATGGTTCTTTGCGGAACCAAAAATGGTTCTTCTATGGCATCGCTTGAAGAACCTTTTGAAGCACCTTTATTTTTAAGAGTGTAGTGCTGCTTTAAAAGAACTCCTTTAGTATTTCACGTTATCAAAAGGATACAAAACGTGTGCAGAACCGTCTGGAAACACAGTGAGAAATTTATTTCCATCATAGTAGTACTTCTTCAAGAAACTTGAATTGTACTGAAAAAAGAGACCAGGTTGTTTAGTTTAAAAGCATGATAATACAACTTTCTAACAGAGTAAATTATTAAATTCAGGATGAGTTAAATCAAACTGAACTGACCCCGGAGTAGAAGACTCATGTGTCCATTGTCCAGAGGTCTCGTCCACATGCATGTAGGCCTACTCTTTAACTTTACAAACATCCTCTTTGGGTGGACAGTTAGAATGCTGGAAACTGATGACTTTTATCACGAGGCACATCTGAGGAGAGAAACCATTCATTTACCCCTTCAACATGCTCAACGAAATAGGTGTTAGCAGTCAATCAAACATTTTTATACATCTGATAAATGTAATCCCAAACTATGCAGGTACACTGTAAATACATAAATCAAAATGTCTAAGCAGTTGAAATGGTTTTACTTTAAAGGCTGGCTTGTGAAACATGACTTCCTCTTTATTCCTGTCTTACTATAGTGACTACTGACTAGCATAAACTCTGGAAATAGACTTTTTCAGGTTTGTTATAGAATAAAGATTTTTATAATGTAATATTACTCACACATGATAATTGGATGCATAATTAGGGTCAGTGCAATTAATACTGTCCTAACACCCCTCAAAGGCAGAACAGGCCTCTGGTTACCATGGCAGGTAATCTGATAACACTGGTTTTATTGCTCAAAGGAATGCGGGCAAAGCAACTCTCACTCATTTCCTCATACACTGTAAAACAAATTCCGTAAAATGTACGGTAAAAAAACGGCAGCTGTGGTTGCCGGAATTTTACTGTAAAAAAATACGGTAGCAACGTTTTAGGTTTTACGGTTTTAACTTAAATTTACAGTTAAATACCGTAATTTCATTAACTGATATAATGTTAATATACCAACCTATTGAAGTACTGAAATCTGTTTTGTACCTTTGTAATACACTGATAACCACCAAATGCAGGTGGTGATGAGAAAGTCACATGATGAACCAAAGCCTATCACAAGCAGCTTTTAAATAATAACATATATAGAAGGTTCACAGTGTCATTCACACAAACTCTAAACAGCATCATGGTAACACACATGAAACTGAAATAATGCAATAAACATTCATTTAACAACATTAGGTGTAACACACAACCCTAATATACCAAACTGATAAGAAAAAACTAAGAAGAAACATAGTTATTTCAACAAAATAACATCACATTTGAAATGTAACGCAGGGAATGTCGATTTACGGTTATTCACTGTAAATTATACGGTCTCTTTCACTTCCAAAAATGGTATACTACCGTAAAATTAATGTCCAATACATGTAATGTCCAATACAGTTTTTCACTGTATATAGTAGGGGAATTTACCGTTAACCATTTAACAGGTTTTTACTGTAGCATTTTTACAGTCTTTTACCGTAAAATTCACGGTCATTTTTTACAGTGTAGAAAAGACACATAATACTCATAGAAATGGACTCTTCCCTATTCATTCATAGACAAACCTTTCTATGACCTTCCTATTCCCAGGTCTTTGTGTAAATAATGATAGAATTTTCTTTTTTTTGGGTGTGAATTATCATTGTTGTTAATGGTCCATCTATAAACATCCTGTCCAGCACATCATGTGGATACTCACTGTTCTTTGATGCCAAAAAACTGAAGTGAGCATCTCTGCCATATCTCTGCATCTCTCTCTGATCTGTCTGAAACTAAGCCAAAGGTGGGAATGACAAGTAAACAAATTCATTTAATTTTGTCAAAGCATATTTCACAGTTTTCATAACAATATGTTTAAGTTACAGCATAGTATAAATGCCATGTGCACTAGCTTACAAAAGTTTGGGATACGATTTTTTTTTCATAAAATATCAATACGTGAATAAGTAAAATATCATTACAATTTAAAAATAACTGTTTTCTATTTTAATATGTTTTACATTTAATAAGCTGAATTTATAGCATGTTAAAAACAGTTTTGATGCTTAATATGTTTTGGAAACCATGAGAGATGTTTTTTTTGGGGGGGGCAACAGAATTCAGAATTAAAAAGAACAGAATTTATTTACAATATACATCTTTTTAACATTATAAATGTATTCAACTATACATATTTATAATGTCCTGTCACTATATATACTGTATATATAAACGAACCCCAGACTTTTGAACAGTAGTGTGTTGTACAACACAAACCTGTGTTTTCTACTTTATTGCACTCTATCTTGTAGTTCGTCAAGTTATAGTTATAGTCGAGCAGGTCCACTAGGCCTTGCCTCAGAACGTCTCATAGCCGATCATGGACTAAAATCTCAAACAACTCTCTGTAGCTCTCACAGCAGAAGTCCTGAAGTCAAAAGTGAAAAGTGTTGAAGCAGTAAGAGTTTGTGTCGGCTACATCCGTTCTCAAGAGACAAAACTCTCGTGCTTCCGCATTAACTGGATCCAGAGGAGGCCAAGCTCTTGAACCACAAAACTGACAGTATATGGGAGAGTCCCGTTGCAGCTGGGGCTGAGTAAAACAAGTTATTTATTTAAAAACATAAACAATTTTATCAAGTGTTATGCTTTTACCATGGCAGTGATCAAATGAATGCACCCGAGGATTGTACATCTTCTTCTGGGACTCTCTTTTGTATCTTAGAAGTCCTGGAAGCCCACAACAGAGATCTGGTGAGGATTCTAGTGTCTGGAAATACTCCTGCTCCATCTGCTGGACAGTACAGAAAATGGTGTGACGAGACCATAAGGGAGAACTGGTTAAGAGAAACAGCATGCATTTTGAAAACTATTAAGTTCTACTTAAATTTATACACAAGATTAAGAGACTTATGTACACTAAAAAACAAAACAAGGATTTTCAAAGTTCTTGGAGTAAGTTTAATATTAAATAAGACATATTTCAGTCTTTCTACTTCAAACTTTCATGTTTAATCCAAAGTGTTACGTGCTGTTTTTGTCAAATTTACTAGCAATTTCTGAGTGAAAATTGTTTCAAAGGCATACACCAAATTATTTCCAGTATAAGAGATCTCTATATGGAAAAAAAGTATTTTAAAATAAAGTTGCCACAATGTAAAAAGTTTTCAAAGTCTAGAAATATCACAAAAAAGCTTCTTACTGTACTTAATCGATATAATTGAGGAGTGTTCCAATCTCTGAATCCATCACTGCAGAATTGTCCTCTCACAACGTGAAATGTGCTTATAATCATCAGTGCTACAGTAACTTGTGGGTCTGTGATACACATCAGGTATTATTTTCGTTTTAGTTAGATTAGCATATCAATAATACTAATAATAATAATTTATAGCTGTAAAAAAAATAGCCACAAAATATAGAGTTTCTGCCAAACAACTAAATTCAATCTAAATTCTAAAGTTGCCAAAAGATGATGAATTCACATGCACACCTGACTGAAAAGTTCTCTTTTGAGATTCCATATGTAGGGTATCAGAGCAGGTGGAAGGACAGCTATATTCACTCAGGAGCAAGAGGCCGTTATAGTGGGCATGGTCCTTCAAGATAATGTAATACGACTCGGAGAAATCCAGGAACGAGTGATACAAGACAACACACACTTCCAGGGAATCGCCAGTGTGAGCATTTCCACAATTGACCGTGTCCTCCATCGTAACAGGATGCGAATGAAACAAGTATACAGAGTACCTTTTGAGCGCAACTCACCAAGGGTGAAAGAACTGCGAGCTCAGTATGTGCAAGTAAGTGTACATTCAGAAACATTTACTGTAATCCAGATTGTCTACAGTACTAACACATACTACGTGAATGACATTGCTCTTCAGTACATACAATGTATGTGAATCAGAAGTGCATACAGTAGGCCTAATTGTACTCTACAGTATAGCACTGTCTCTGTACGATTTACAAAATTCTAAATACAGTATATTGTATTTTTACACAGACAAAATTTGGCTTGGAATCCTTGGACAGACCCCATGACTTCATCTTTGTCGATGAAGTAGGCTTCAACCTAACAAAGAGGAGAAGGAGAGGCCGAAACATGATTGGACAGCAAGCCATTGTTGAAGTCCCTGGTCAACGAGCTGGCAATGTCACAATCTGTGCTGCTATCAGCAACCATGGTGTTCTACATCACCATGTTACACTCGGGCCATATAACACCCAGCACCTTCTAAGATGTATTGCCAATCTAAGATATATTTGATTTGAGCAGCAGGTTCAAGAGCAGCAGGGTCAAGAGCTAAATGAGAATCCCATTCCCACCTATGTGATAGTGTGGGACAATGTCAGTTTCCACCGAGATGCTCAGGTAAGGGAATGGTTAAACATCAATGGGCAGTTTCTGTCTAAACTCCCTATAAAATCTTAAATGATTCCCTTTGAGCTAAATTGACCTGTTTCCCTTACACATATCACACAGGTATTCCTGGGAGCAAATGTTCACTATTCCAATGGTTTTGACTATATTTTACCTACAGTTTCTTGTCTATCACAGACTATTTTTTTTTTAGTAGAGAAAGATGGTCTAATAAAGTTTTATTCCTCTTTGTCACTTTCTCTTCTATAAGTATAAGGCCTGAGGAGAGGTATGTTTAGACCAGGGGTGTCAAAAGTTCCTGGAGGGCCACCCTGCAGTGTTTTGGTCCAACCCTGCTCCAACACACAAACCATGTAGTTTACAAATTAGCCTGATGGCAGGGCTGGACGATATGGCCAAAATTTATATCACGATATATTTCTTAATTTCGATATGATATAATTCCGATATCGATATGAACACTATTAAAAAAAGCATAAAAAAAAAAAAAAACACTAAAGTAAAAACTGCCAAGAACGCCCACAACAGATGTCTGTCTAACAAACTTATGGAAAATGAATTTGCCAAGTATATGACACCTCATATAAAACCATATAATATTTTAGAAAAAAAAACAGCACAAATAAATTAATGTTCACCTTTTATTTGTATTTAGCCTTCATACAAACAAGAAATGTGAAATCACTTTCAAATAATCGTCTCGGACTCACCTAATTAATATTAATATCTTTAACTTCAAACTATAGGCCAGGGATCCTCAAATCTGGCCCACGAGATCCACTTTCCTGCAGAGTTTAGCTCTAACCCTAATCAAACACACCTGAGCATGTTAATCAATGTCTTCAGGATCATTAGAAAATCACAGGTAGCTGACTTTGATCAGGGTTGGAGCTAAACTCTGCAGCGCATTGACCCTCCAGGGAAAGATTTGAGGAACCCTGCTATAGGCTAACATACACTACCAGTCAAAAGGTTTTGAACTGTAAGATTTTTAATGTTTTTAAAGAAGTCTCTTCTGCTCACCAAGCATGCATTTATTTGATCCAAAATACAGCAAAAACAGTAACATTTTGAAATATTTTTACTATTTAAAATAACCGTTTTCTATTTGAAAATATTTTAAAATGTAATTTATTTCTGTGATTTCAAAGTTGTATTTTTAGCATCATTACTCCGGTCACATGATCCTTCAGAAATCATTCAAATATTCTGATTTGCTGCTCAAAAAACATTTATTATTATGTTGAAAACAGCTGAGTAGAATTTTTTCAGGTTTCTTTGATGACTTTCCTTGAAAGTTCAGAAGAACAGGATTTATCTGAAATAGAAATCTTTTGTAACATTATAAATGTCTTTATCATCATTTTTGATCAATTTAAAGCATCCTTGCTAAATAAAAGTAGTAATTTCTTTGCAAAAAAAGAAAAAAAAAGAAAACAGAAATCATACTGAATAGTGTATAATGTTACAAAAGCTTTTTTATTTCAGATAAATGCTGATCTTTGGATCTTTCTATTCAACAAAGAATCCTGAAAAAATGTGTTCAACTGTTTTAAATATTGATAATCAGCATATTTTCTGCTTTTTTCAGATTTCTGGATCATGTGACACTGAAGACTGGAGTAAAGAAAGCAGTCATTTTAAATAGTAAAAATATTTCTAAATTTGACTGTTTTTGCAAAGTGCTCTGAGTTGCTGTAGAAAGAAAAAACAGCAACAACAAAAACATGTTGCTGGAGACAAGCTTATTGAAAATGCAAACTAATTGTCTGCCAGCAGGAGGCGCTTTGAGCGCGTTAGAACTAGCGGTTTCTCCAATAATGGCTGTAATCAAATCAGCTCTGCTCATGAAGGCTTCTTTATCAGATCAAATTAAAATGCCATAGAAACTTTTCTGTAGACAAACAAATTGTTAAAAAATCATATCACCATTATTGAAAAAAATTATATAGCGATACATATTGATACTGAATTACTGTCCAGCCCTACCTGAAGGACTTGATTAGCTGGATCAGGTGCGTTTAAGACACCTGAGTTTGACACCCCTGGTTTAGACTCAAATGGGGCAAGTTCAAGCTCAAACCGTTGCGCAACGTTTTGCTACGGTTTCCGGTTTGAACCACATGTTTCCTGGAAACGGTGTGCAACGGTCTGCAACGGGGTTTGAGATACGTTTTCTCTTGTTTGGTGGGTGTGTCAAAAATGTCAGCCCAATCAGCAGCAACAAGTATATAAACCACACGGTATTAAAGAGACAGCTTGCACAATGTAATTAACATCAAAATAAATTCACAAGAGCAAGTATATTGTTTGCACATGTTTATTTACATTAAAGGCAAAACAACTGAAATAATAAGAGCACAAGTACAGATCTGGAACTTCTTTAAGTCTGTTTAAATATCATTTAGTAATTGCAATGTCATCTGGTCCATCCTTTCCTTAGGAAGGTGTGCAAGACACTGATCAATGTAACATAAAAATACTATACATATTTATATATTTTGCTATTGTATTGTGGAGTGACACTTTCAAAAACTTTTCTATATTCCTCTGATTATATAATGGTAAATATTACAATAACATAGCACAACAACAATTATCAGCAATAATGATAAGCCTAATCCTCGCAATAAAAATAATAAGGTCATATAGATCATAACACGGTCTCGGAGGTAAGAAGTGGGTTATCCTTCACCTGAAATGTTTGTCTTTTCATCCTGAAAAACGAATGTTGGATCACAATAATTAGGAACCACAGTTTTCCCAAATCCCTTCACTCTATTGGGATATTCTCTTTTATTCTGGAGGCAAGGGCAGTGACTGTAACATTGAGCGTATTTTGTAGTATTAAACACGTATTTATACAGATTTCATCTGGCTCCGAGAATTCTTCAAAAAGAACACAAAGAATGGCATTCTCGGCTGCCATAGTTGCAACTCTTGCGTCATCAGAACAGGGTGTTCAACGCACCACCGTTTCCGTTTAAAAAACGTTTTGCACCGTTTTGTCGGGGCTGAACGCAGCCCTGGATTTTTCCACAGCAATGCAGTGTTGATGATATCCATGGATATTTGAGAGCTCTATAGGGGAGTTCCAGCCTGTAATATCAAATGCTGTGTCAAACCGTATAGCATTCAGGCATACCTGAGTGTCAAAACACCAGAAGCACATTATTGGTGCACTTGTGTATTGGTATAATCTTTACACAACTGGTATTTTTGTAAATAATTCAATGTGTTTTATTTTACTCTCATTAAATATTTATTGAACTGTATTTATGTGTAAATTTCCCTCACAGAATGTAAACAAACACAGTACTCAATTGAGATGTGGTGAAAATGACAATGTTTTAAAAAGACCGAGGTTTACACATTATTATTTTTTTTAACTTACATGCAGCGTTATAAAAAACTTTGCACTACAATGAAAACTGTGCGATATAGACTACAACCAGAGTCATGTTTTTTTTGTTTGTTTGTTTAGTGGCGGAATTCTGGTTCAGTGGCAACTAGGGCTTATAGAAAAGATTTAGGAGGAGAAAAAAAAACGAGAAAAACGCAGACTGCGGAGTAATGAATCTCGCGTAATCATTAAACGGAGCAGGTGTTTAGCCTTTAAATTACGCAAGAATTTACTTAACGTGCGGGTGATTAAAACGGCATGGCGCGTTATATAAAGGCATTTCATACGTCTTTCCAGCACGTGCATATTAGAATGGCGTATGGGACAATACGGGAGCGTCTGATCCTTATACTAAGTTCTTTCACATGCATTACTTTAGTGCAGTGCAGACATGTGCTGCAATTGTCTGAAAATGAAAAAGCAAATGATGATGGTGAATTTATATCAGAACAACATATGTTTGACCACGACGAGGCTTTACCTGATTTTGAGTACCTAGGTGATGACGCCATTGTCTCAGGTAATGAGTGCTTGGTTTAATTTGGGTGTAGTTATATTTTTGTCAAGTCTAATACATGGGCATCGACAATTAAAGGGCAAGTCAGTTCTTCTGAAGCCGCCTGGTATGCCATGTCTCCAAGTTTGAGGTGTGGTGATGACCTTATGAAGTTGCAGCTCAGTGGTCCTGAAGTAGCACAAGTTGAGCTTTGTCGAGGTAAGCCGTCAATTCATTGTTGCTCGAATTTGACCACATAGTATCTTAGTTGGTTGTACTAGTCCTTTTGTGACCCTACCTAGACTTTACATGCATCAATGTAGTAAGAGACTTATACACCCCCCCCCCCCCCCCCCTTTTTTTTGTCACAGGTAATGGGGCACCTGTTACCCTCAATGAGTTGCCACTTCACTGTGGACACACCATACCAACTTATGGAGGTCTTATATATGCTACCCCGTATGATGGGTGTGGTGTTGCACAACAGGTATTGCTTTCTGTTCCACGCTGGGAAAAACTGATTAATTTGAAGTTACAAAAAAAATTAAGGTGAGTGGTTGCAATCAATTTATTTTAGATGCATTTAAATAAACCAGTTTTAGTTTAACTTTTCTGTCTATTTATATCAGCCGTGCATTTTTTACACCTAGGCCTTCAGTGGCATCCTACATGAATTAATCCATCTCTTCATACCATCATAATGATGCCACGGCTATAGAAACCATAAATATTACACAGTAATGCAGTATAACAGGGCACTACATAACAGACAGGTATCTTATGTAGCGAGAATGAATGCCATTACTAAAGAAAGAAACCCAATTAACAATTGCGCAACACATCATCGGTAGCTGAAGCATTAACCTAACAAAATGACACAAATACAGTCCATCCGATGTTCTTACAGACATTTATTCACTCAAATGCATTTATACTTTACAGATAGCATTGGTATAAAACGAATAAGGTGATTGCTTGTGTTTTAAAGTTGATCTAACAATTTAATGTTCTCTTACTGCTTTATTTCGTCTTCACGAGTCTCCCGCCGGTCTGCCAGCGCACTGCAGGAGGAAAATAGTGGTTAGCACTGCTTTACTAGGAAAGTGAGCAAGTAACATTTAAAATTCATACAAGACGATGAAGAAAAGTGTGTACATGTGTTTTAACGTACCTCTGTGACTCATCTCCCCGCTGGTCTGGAGGAAAAGCCCGCTTAATACAGCTCCACTTGGGGAAACTGAGATATTCTTACGGAAACTTAAACCTGGCTTTATATCGCGCAAATAACATCAGCATACAACGCATCAAGCGATAAAAGAGTCTAAAATTAACCTACCATACTCTAGTGGTTTTTCATCTTCACGAGTCTTTCACAGAGCCGGTGCCGAGAAGGTGTGTGGTTGTTTATCGCAGTCATTAGGACTA